GAGAGAGAGAGAGAGAGAGAGAGAGAGAGAGAGAGAGAGAGAGAGAGAGAGAGAGAGAGTAGAGAGAGAGAGTAGAGAGAGAGAGAGAGAGAGAGAGAGAGCTCACAGTGGCCGGAGATGGTGACGCAACGACGGTGACACGTGGGGAGATGAGAAGTCAGAGAGAATCTTGGAACCGAATGGTTTTATACATTTAACAATACGCTTTAAACAAATATCAAGAAAAGAATAAGGAGAGCAATATTCGGTTTTTGACGGAAAATACTTTGTTTCAGATTAACTGAATCCACATCGAGAGGGTGTTATTATTACGTTTATAAAGTATTAAGGCATTTTCGAGAGAGAGGATAAAAAGTAGCTAACATTGAGTCAAGGTTTCGGCCTTTTGGGTGGGCTATGGACCAGTTTATGTAATATCCAACTTATCAACTGGGCTGTACAATCTTAACTCTTTATCACTCATCTTCAAAATGTAAGAACCTATTACTATTTATAAATGATTTCATTTTACTTTCTACTTTTTTCTCTTGTTTTTTTAGGAAAAGGTGAAGAAGATAAATTCACCATTACATTAAAAATATACATAGCTATTTTATTTTTCATTGGAAAATCACATAAAAACCTTGAAGTTTTTTCACTAACACTTTAAACCTTCAAAAATGACATTTGTGTCACTAAAAACATTGAATATGAAAACCTGACCTGTTGAACATGTAAAACATGTAAAATAGGTGGTTTATCAAGTTTTTTCTGAAAAATAAATATTTAATAAATAAAAAAATAAATAAAAAACAATTGAATATTCAAAAAAAATTATAGAAAATTTCAGAAATAAAGAAAAATTTATAAAAAAGAAAAATTGAAATACCAAAAGTTCAATAAAATTCATAAAATAGAAAGCTCAAAAATTCAAAATAGTTTTAGAAAATTACAAGATTATTTTAAACTATTTGAAACCATCAACTTCAACAATGATATGTTTGAAATTTTTATTGTCAACTGTGATATATCAATTTTATTGGAAAATTACAAGATTACTTAAAAAAAACTAAAATATTATTTGAGAATAAAAATTCAAATATATCACTATTGACGATGATGGTTTCAAACAGTTTCAATTTTTTTTTTTAATTTTTCTTTGTGTTCTGCAATTTTCTTTAATTTAGTGAAAATGTAATTTAGTTTTTAATTTTTTAATTTTTTTGTTCAAGTTTCTGAATTTCTTTATTTTTTTGTTTAGTTTTATGAATTTATTTATTTTGTTATTTCAATTTATTTTTTCTAATTTTATTTTTGTTATTTCAATTTATTTTTTTCTAATTTTTTTTTTATGTTCTGAAATTTTCTTTTATTTTTTTTTAAATTAAAATTTTTTATTCTTATTAAATTTTTATTTTCAGAAAAAAACTTGATAAACTACATGTTTTATCTATTCAATAGGTCAGATTTTCAAATTTAAGGTTTTTTATGACACAAATATCACTTTGAAGGTTTAAAGTGCTAGTGAAAAAATTTCAAAGTTTAAAGTGATAGTAAATGTTACTTTCAAGGTTTTTAATGCGATTTTCTTTTTTTCATTACTATCAACTTGTATTTAGAGAAAAAATCAACCATTTTTGAGATAAGAGAGAGGTTCTAATAGCGATTTTGGGAGTAATTTCGCCAATTTTTAATAAAAGATGGATATTCAAAGGGTTTGATTGTGTTCTTGGGTATGAGATCATCTTTTTCTTGTTCTTTTCTTTTGTTTTGGAAGCGAGTTTCACCCAGCTCCAAACAGGCGTGGATCCAGGGACGGATCCACGCCTATAAGAGGTGTGGCTTGTGCCACAGTCTAATTTCTAAATATTCTTATAGAAAAGTAGATACACATGAAATTTATCATCCTTTTTGGCTTAAATGACTCAACAGTGCCCCATATAAATCATGACGAACCCGTCGGATTGTTTTTAATGTCCAGATTTGTACGCATTTCATTATACCGTATTTTACAGTTTACCCTTTCATAAGAATTTTTTTTATTTCTCTTTTGTTTTTCTGTTACTTGTAGAAAACAAAATATTTTCTTCTTTATCTTTAGCATTATAGTTTTTACCTTTTCTCGAATAAAATCACTTCATTTGAATTTTACATTAATTATTACTATTCTAAAATAATTGAAGTTTTAGCTTTTTGCACAACTATTAAAAAAATATTTTTATCTCAAAATATGCTTTAAATATAAATTAAAAACTATTTAACCAGTTACAAAATTGATTAGAAATATTATTGATTACACAGTTTTTGATAAAATTAAAAATTATTATGAAATATAAGAACATCATCTATTTTGAAACATTAAATAAATTCTTAGACATCATCAACTTATATTTTTAACACTTAAAATTATAATAACTACTAAAATGAATATACTTTTCACAGTAAAATTGTATAGATTTATAATTTCTGATATTACTTAAAGACATTTAATATTATATAAATCTTTATCATTTATATTCAACTCATTTTAAACTAAATAGATAATTATAAATACTAATGTACTTAAATAATACAATATAATATAACATAACATAGCACAAGCTTTTTAATTGATAATTTGATTTATAATTAATATTTTAATATATATATGATAGAACTTATGAATGTGTATATGCCATATATATATTGTGTCCCATGCTAAATTATTTTCTGGGTTCGCCCCTGGCTCCAAACCTGTTTTAAATTTTGGTCTAATACCACTAAGCTTGGAAAACAAAATAAGTCCACCAAAGTCAAATGTCTATCCCGCGTTGAGAGAATGATCTACATATCACGTCGTCGTTTGGTCCACTCTGAGCACTTATAACAAGAACCAAGGAGAATGTGATTTGAATTCTCTCATATCGAACCTGTAGTCTCAATATTTTTGTACTCTCTTGTTAATCGATATTTTTTAATTCTCCATAGTTGTATCTTTCCATATCATTAATACAAATACACATTTTCATACAAAATTATCAAACATTGATTCATTGGTTATTTATTCAGCAAGTTAACATAAATTATAATCCTAATTTCTGAATTGGATTTGATATCCATCAGTTCACATGTCATTAGTGATAGCTAATTTGATTGTACACATAGAAGAAATGTAAAAGTGAGAACTTTCAAATGTCATCAAATAAGGAAGAAAATGTGATTTGTTCTTGACTATTCACACAGTATACAAATTGTAATATGAAATTCAACTTCAAATTGTCTTCTTCTTCTTTTGTTGAACACATACCAACTCCTAAACCTCATCATCGCTTCCTTCTGGTCCATGGACTAGGTTCCTACATATTGTTTGTTCGTTGTTGTATTAACGAAACCATTTATATAAAGAGGATATAATAACAAAGATTTTGCTCAAAAAAAAAAAAACAAAAAAAAAAAAACAAAGATAAAAATATCACATTACCTAAAAACCCGGCAACTATTTGGACCACTTACCTGTGAGAAAGAAACAACAAAATCATAAACACACACATAAAGTTAAAGAATTGAGTTTGCTTTGGTGGAATCTGAAGTCTTTGGGGGTCTTTTCTTACGCCATAAGTGCCGACGTCATTGAAACAACCGACACAAAAGATATCTTGCAAAGCAGGATTGGACGTTTTTTCAACCAGAAATGTATTGAAGCTGCCACCAAAAATTATGGTTGAAAATTCTCAAGCAACATGAAACAAGTGTGAAGCATATATATATATATATACTTACAGTCTACTGAACACATATGTGAAAACCTCGACCTCTTTAGAGATGATATCACTGGGGACTCCGAGATGTGTGTTGCACTCTAGGCATGTGTAGACGGGTCCCTCGAGTTCTATCGCGAACACTCTTCCCATTTTCCACCAACCTAGAGAGTAGAGACTAGTCCCACAAGATCATGCATTGAGTCTAGAGAAGGTCAAAACGATGTAACTGAAACAGGAAGATAACTAAACAAAGAACAATCATCAAGAAATCAAAAACGGTATACCAAGAATCAGTTACGTGACTACCAAGAAAAGATCATGCATTGAGTAAAGAGAAGGTCAAAACGATGTAACTGAAACAGGAAGTAAACTAGAAAACTGTACCAAGAATCCGTTTCGTGAGTCCCAAGAAAAAAGATAAAATCTACCAATGTTGAAGGCAATGATTCTACGATGCAAATAAAACCCTAGATGAAGAATCCTTGGATTCTCAACGATTTTAACAGAGGAACAAATGCTTAATATTGCAACGATTAACCGCAAAAGAGTGAGAGATTACGGGAGAGAGAGAGAACTCACAGTGGCCGGAGATGGTGACTCAGCGGCGGTGACACGGAGGGAGATGAGAAGTCAAGTCAGAGAGAGTCTTGGAACCAAAAGGTGAACTTGCTTGGGGGTGGGGAGAGAGGGAAGGAGAGACTTTATATTACTACGTTTTAAACAATATCTTAATTTGGTTTATGACGGCATTAATTTGTTTGATATCAATTGGGTCCACATTTCAGGGGGCGTTAAATTAAGTTTATAAAGTATTAAGGCATTTTCGAGAGATGAGAAAAAGTAGTTAAGAGTAATTAGACAAGGTTTCGGCCTTTGGGTGGGCTTTAGGCCAGTTTTTGTATATCCAACTTATAAATTGGGCTGTACAACTTGATTATCACTCATCTTTCAAAGTGAAATCAAATGCAAAAGCAATTAGATAAGACATTTTACTTTGAACTTTTATTCCTCGAATTTTAGTAAAACATGAAGCAGATAAATTTACCATTAGAAGAGAAATAGACAAAGAAATTTTTTTATTAATTATTATCAGCTTGTATAAAGATAGGAAAATTCAAACATTTTCGAATCCACCACTTTTTATATATAATAAGATGAATTTCATATTGTACACATAGAAGAAGTGTAAAAGTGAGAACTTTCAAATGTCATCAAACCCCCAAAAGGAAGAATATGTGATTTATTATTGAGACTATTCACAGACTATATAAAGTGATATGAAATTCAAAACATATACTTCTACATCAAATTATCTTTCTTGTTTTTTATTACACATATACATCTAACTCCTAAACCTCATCATCGCTTCCTTCTGGTCCATGGAGTTCCTTCCTGCATTTTGTGTTGTTGTTGTATTGATGAAACCATTCCTATATATATAGAGGACTTAACAAAGAAATAAATATCACATTACCTCAAAACCCAGCAAGTATTATTTGGACCATTCTCACCACTTGTCTGTGAGAAATAAACCACAAAACCATGAACACACACACAAAGTTCAATATGTTTTGGTGGAATCTGAGTCTTGGGGGTCTTTTCTTACGTTATAAATGCCGATCATTTTGGTACAACCGACACAAAAGATATCTAGCAAAGTATAATTGACTGTGGATACAGCCAGAAATGCATTGAAGCTGCCACCAAAATTAAGGATATATATATTGGTTAAAAAATTCTCAAAGTAACATGAAACTGGGAAGCATAAATATACTTACAGTCTACTGAAGTCATATGTGATTTCATTAATTCCCTGAAATAAAAACATCAGCAGGAACAATAAAATTCACTGTTAAGTTGATAATGAATTAATGCAAGTTTGAAAAAAAAACCTCAATCTCCTTAGAGATGATATCATTGGGGAGTCCGAGATGTGTGTGGCACTCTTTGCATGTGTAGACGGGTCCCTCGAATTCTATCGCGAATACTCTTCCCATCTCTACCAACCTGATCGTGACTAGGTCGAGAGATGGTTCAAAACGAAAACTGAAACAGGAAGAAAACTAGACAAAAGAACAATCATCAAGAAAATCGAAAACGGTACACCAAGAATCAGTTACGTGATTTCCAAGAAAAGAGATAAAAATCTTGGAAATGATTCTACGATGCAAATGAATACCCTAGACGACGAGAAAAACGTTCACAAGGAGAAGAATCCATGGATTCTCAGTGACAATGAGTTTCTTTTCAACGAGTTTAACAGAGGAAAAATGCTTAATAATGCAACGAGTTAGAGACTACGAGAGATTATGGGAGAGAGAGAACTCACAGTGGCCGGAGATGGTGAGGCAACGACGGTGACGACACGCGGGGGATGAGAACTCAGAGAGAGATTCTTGGAACCTTTTGCTTTTGAGTCGATAGAAAGGGGAGGGCGAGGTTTTATATTACACGTTTTAAACAAATAATCACAATTCGAATTATTATGGAAATAATTTGATTGACAGTAAATGGATCCACATTGAGAGGGTCTTCTAATAATTTGTTAAATATTAAGGCGTGTCCGATAAATGAGAACAAAGTAGTGAAGATAAGTCAACTTGGTGGCCTTTGGACCAGTTTATAATATTGGCTGTATAACTTAATTCTTTATCACTCATCTTTCAAAGTGAAATCAAATGCGCAGTCCACATGTTATTAGTGATATGAATGTTAAGTGGTTGTGCTCATGTTAGTCGGTGGATTTTTATGAATGATGTACTTATCAAGAGATGTGAATATGGTTTTTTATAGCGTACGTGAAGGAACTAAGCTTTTATGGTGTATACCGTGGCGTTGTTGGTGTTCATCAATTCGTAGTTGGAGATTGCCGTATTTGAGCTCGTCTCATGAATTTGAAGATTTAATATTATTTGCGATATGCACATGCATTAAGTAGCACAAAAACGCCATTGAGGTGTAATCTATGGTGTAAAATATAGAACTTATAAGTAGCTATAGAACCAGCAATATATAGAAAAGTTATTCAAATTGTGAAAAACATAATAAAACATGTAAACTTTGCAAATGGAGTCAAATGTCATCAAAACCCCAAAAGGAACAATATGTGATTTGTTATTGAGACTACTCACAGACTATACAAAGTAATATGAAATTCAAAAACATATACTTTAACATCAAATTGTCTTTTTGTTGAACACATACCAACTCTCCTAAACCTCATCATCGCTTCCTTCCGGTCCATGGAGTTCGCTCCTACATATTGTTAGCTTGTTGTTGTATATTAATGAAACCCTTTCTTTGTTTTTTTTTGTCACTGAAATATTGCATTAATAAGAGAAAGTGGATTTGGGCTAAACTGGGCCCAAATCAGATGTTTTGAATACAAGATAGATGGGCCTTAAGGGCCACTTTTGCTAAATTGTCGGCAAGAACATTGTCCGAACGAGAAATGTGCGAAAAAGATAGATTTGTAAACTCAGAAGATATCGATCGGATGTCTTTTACAATGCCGATGATTTCCTTGAACTGGGTATTGCCAGTGCTGCTCTGATGAGCGATAGTGAGTCGGAGCAGACGGTGAGGGTAGAGAAACCCTGTGTGATTGCCGAGCAAAGCGCTGCTCTCATCGCTTTGGCTTCTGCAACAAGAGGTGACGAGATGAAGCCTTCCACCATGGATCCACAGACTTCTAATTCCAGATGTGCTCCCGTGAAAACCCATCCGAGGCCTGCCGTTGATTTTTCTTCATTCCAAGCGGCGTCCATTCTACACAGTAGTTTATTGGTATCGAGGAGAGTTCCTAAGGAGACCAGGCGTGTCGATGGGATCGGTGGGACAGATCCTGACCCTTTCTATATATAGAGGATATAAGACCATCTCCATCGGGGCCTCTTAATCCCAGCCCCTTAGCAAAAACAGATTAGATTAATATTATAATTCTGCTTTTTCACAAGAGGTGCCCCTTAATTAAGGATTTTTAGAGTTGAGTCCTAGATGACGTGGCTTGTAGAAGCCGGTGTCGTTTTGCCCAACTCTGGTTTGGAAAAAAAAGTTACGCGAGAGAAAAAAAAACCTTCAAAGGCGATTCAATTGGCGATTCCTCCATCTTGAGTTCTTCGGTAAATCGCTATCTAGGGTTTTCGTTAGGGTTCGAAGAGGATTTGGGATACGATTTGTGTTTCTGATTTGGGGATTTCTTCTTCTTTTGACTTTGGAATCAAAAATTGATCTTTCGAATCAGAGAGAGAGAGAGAGAGAGAGAGAGAGAGAGAGAGAGAGAGAGATATCATTCTTTGGAATCATTATTTTCCTTATTTGCTATGGGAGATTCTGCGTCCTCTTCTTCTGTTCACCAATCTCTTGGTGGTGGTTCAGGTGAGTCTCTCTTTTCCTTTGCCATTTGTTAGTCTAATTTGGTTTCTTTTGCATAGCCTCTTGATTCAATGGTGTAATGTTGAGATTATTATTGCGAGTTGATTGTTCAATTTTATTTGAGGGGGTTTTAATGGATTATTTTGGAATTTTTTGTGAAGTTCTAAACTTTCATTTGATTTAAGAATAAGTTTTCAACAATCTCTACTGGTGTGTTTGTGTGTATCCTTAGAGTACACTTTTGAATTTGAATCTTCTTGTTTGGGTAAAATGCAGTTACTGATCTGCTGCTATTGAGAAACCGGACCAGTGCGGTCGTTTTGCTAGTCTCGTCTACTGTGTTTTGGTTCCTGTTTGAGAGAGCTGGTTACAATCTTCGTCTCCAGTGTTCTGCTTCTTCTTGTTGCCATCCTCTTCTTAGGGGCCAAGTCTGTTTCACTACTCAACCGGTAAATAACATCTCTGCTCATTCTTTGTTATAACGGAATCGAGAAGATAGTGCGGAAACAAATGAAACTAAAACAACACAAAAAGATTTAACATGTCTCACCAAAGTAAAACAACTACATTTCCAGATAACTAAATGCTACCATTCTTTTTGTTGCATTTCTTATGCGCCATTGTTGGATTTTTTTTTCTACTTTCACTGTGTTATAAGTTGTTGCTTCACAGTTTGAATGAGTTTTGGAACTCTGCTATTATTAGAAAACCGAGCCATGCCTTTTCTGTCGTTTTTATTAGTACACCATCGATGAATTTTGTTTCAGACCTTTGCCACCAATTCAGAATATGGAAATCCCTGAGGAGTTTGCAATCAAGACTGCTGATGATATCCGAGTTTTGATCAACCATGTACTCTCAATTGCAAGTGATATCACCATTGCTAGAAATCCAATTCGTCTGCTTCAGGTCTTTTTTTTTTTGTTTTTCATAGCTTGGCTAAACTATTCTATGTTTAATATTTGTATGTTTAATTATAGTATGTTTTATATTTGTTTTTCAATAAATATAATTTTATTTTATTTTTAAAAACTCTATTTTGGAGTTCACCAATGGACACCCAAAATATTGAAAGTCCTTAACTTTCCAAAATTAATTAAATTAATTAAAACAAAATGCTAAGAACCATCCTTAGAGGTTCAGCAATGGAGTTGCTCTAACAGGGTAAAAAATATTCACATTACCTCAAAACCCTGAAACAATTTGGATCACTTACCTGTGAGAAAGAAAGCACAAAATCAATGAACACACATAATAAAGTTGAAAAATTGAGTTTGGTTTGGTGGAATTTGAGTCTTGGGGGGTCTTTTTTCTTACGCCATAAATGCCGATGTCGTTGGAACAACCCACACAAAAGATATCATGGAAGTCAGCAGTTGCTTCAGCCAGAATTATTGTATTGAAGCTGCCACCAAAATTAAGTATATATATATTGGTTAAAAATTCTCAAGCAACATGAAACTGGGAAGCGCATATGATACTTACAGTCTACTGAACACATATACGAGGCAACCATCCTGAAAAGAAACATCAGAGGCATGTTAAAATGCAGTTTCAAGTTACAAGATGAGATGTAAGTGTGAGAAAACCTCGGTCTCCTTAGAGAGACATCACTGGGGACTCCTAGATGTGTGTCGCACCACTTGCATCTATACACTGGCCCCTCGAGTTTTATCCCGAACCCTCTTTCCATTTTCCACCAACCTGTAGACTGTACTGTAGAGACTACCACAAGATCTTGATTGAGTCTAGAGATGGTTAAAAGGATAAATGAAACAGGAGAAGAAAACTTGTGAGACTTGTCCCAGTAGATAGTGATGTGAGTCGAGAGAAGGCTAAAACGATAACTGAAACATGGAAAAAAAACTAGACAAAGAGTAATCATCAAGAAAATCGAAAACGGTATACCAAGAATCAGTTCGTGGTTTCCAAGAAAAGAGATAAAAGCTACCAAATGTTGAAGACATGATTCTACAATGCAAAAAGAAAACCCTAGACGACGAGAAAATGTTTGGCGGAAGAAGAACCCATGGATTCTAAGTGGCTATGCTCTTCTTTTCAACGAGTTTAACAGAGGAAAAATGCTTCATATTGCAACGATTAACCGCGAAAGGGTGAGAGATTACGGGAGAGAGAGAGAGAGCTTACGGTGGCCGGAGATGGTGATGCAACGACGGTGACACGGCGGGAGTCGGGAGATGAGAAGTCAGGGAGATTCTTGGAGACTTTTGCTTTGGAGTTGTGAGAGAGGGAGGGAGAGGCTTTTATATTACGTTCTATTCAGATAACATAATTCGGTTTATGCCGGGAATAATTTGCTTGAGGGCAATTGGATCCACATTGAAAGGGTCTTCTAATAACTTTATAGAGTATTACGGCTTTTCCGTAAATATAATAAAGTAGTGAAGACCAGTCAACGTTTCGGCCTTTGGGTGGACCTTTGGACGAGTGTATAAATAGGGCTCTACAACTTAAATCTTTATCACTCATCTTTTTTTTTGCTAAAACTTATCACCATCTTTCAAAGTGAAATCAAAACAAAGTCAAATAGATGACTCAGTTCACATGTCACTAGTGATATGTGTTAAGCTATTGCATTGTACACATAGGAAAAGTGTACGTAAGAACTTTCAAATGTCATCAAAACCCCAAAAAAGAAAATGTGATTTGTTATCGAGACTATTCACACGCTATACAAAGTAATAACACAAAACAAAGTCAAATAGATGACTCAGTTGTCACTAGCTAGTGATATGTGATAAGCTAAGTGCATTATACACATAGGAGAAGTGTAAAAGTAAGAACTTTCAAATGTCATCAAAACCACCAAAAGGAATATGTGATTTGTTCTTGAGACTATTCACGCGCTATACAAAGTAATAACACAAAACAAATGTTTTGTAAATCAAATGCAAAGCCAATTAATATTTATAAATGAATTCATTTTACTTTCTATTTTTTCTTGGATTTTTAACTAGGTTTCATGGAATAGCAAACAAACACATTGAAACGAAACGTTTTGAAACGTAGAAACATGATTTTCAAAAAGATTAGTAATAGAAACGTTTTAGAAACGTCTATAATATATATGTGTATATACATATGTATGATTAGTTAAGTATTATTTTTTGTACATTTTATAAAAAATTATAATCAATAATTAGAAAACTAACACATGTTATCATTCGATAAAATTATGGAGTGATTTCATTTTAGAGCTAATAATTATACTAGAATGATAACAAATATCGAAAGATAATATTAAAATATAAGTTGATAAATATGTAATCACTAACATCAAATGGCAAATAGTTATTCTTTTGCGTTTCTAATTAGAATCGCGAGTTTCCAAGTCAAAAACGCAAGTTTCCATCATGTTTCCAAAATAAAATTATCAAGAAACGTGTTTGCAAAGAGTTTCTTTAAGTTTCCAAGAGATTCCAATTCAGAAACGTTTCCAAAATAGGAAACGGACTTGAAGAGAATTTTCATGCAACCTAGGTTTTTAATAAAAGGCGAGGAAGATAAATTAACCATTATAGGAAAATAAACATAGCAGACTTTTTAATTATTTTCACCTTATTTAGATTAAAAAAAAAATAATCAACCATATATTTTAGAATCTACTTTTTGTTGCTTAGATTTTTAGTAAAAGAGAAGTAGATAAATTTACCGGTAGATGAAAAATAGACATAGTTATTTTTTTAAGTTACTATATTAACTTGTATTTTAGAAAAAAATTCAACCATTTTCAAGATAAGATAGAGATTCTAATATCAATTTTGGGGTAAATTCACCGATTTTTAATAAAAGATGAATGTCCACAGGTTATGATTGTATTCTTCGGTGTAAGATCATCTTATCTTATTATGTCATTTGTTTTGCAGGTGGATTTTACCCTACTCAAACACTGTTCAAAATTTCGGTCTAGTACTACTAAGGTTAGGAAGAAGACAATACGCCCCCAAATGTCAAACCAAAACGTAAAATGCAGATCATATTCGCTGAAAATCACGTCGCTGTTATCTCCATCTCGGAGCGCATGTAAAAAGGAACCAAGAAGGAGAATGAGATCCGAATTCTCTCATATTATACTTCTAATCTCAATATTTTTGTACTCTCTTGTTTATCGATATCTTTTACCTCTCTATAGTGGTATCTTTTAATATTATCAATAATAATACACATTTTTCATCCAATGGTCATACTCTGTTTCCAACATCAACAAATAAGTACTTTTCTTGGTTGATATCAATAAAATACACTTTTTTTTTTTGCTAAAACTTATCACTCATCTTTCAAAGTGAAATAAAAACAAAGTCAAATAGATGACTCAGTTCACATGTCACTAGTGATATGTGATAAGCTAATTGCATTGTACACATAGGAGAAGTGCAAAAGTAAGAACTTTCAAATGTCATCAAAACCCCCAAAAAGAATTCTTTCACACGCTATACAAAGTAATATGAAATTCAAAAACATATACTTATACCCAAATTGTCCTTTTCTCTTAACACATATTAACTCCTAAACCTCATCATCATCGCTTCCTTCCGGTCCATGGAGCTCGTCCCTACATATTGTTTGTTTGTTATTGTATTAGTGAAACCATTTCTATATATAGACAATATAACAAAGTACAAACATCACATTACCTCATAACCCAGTAACTATTTGGATCACTTACCTGTGAGAAAGAAACCACAAAATCAATGAACACACACAATAAAGTTGAAGAATTGAGTTTTCTTACGCCATAATTGCCGATCTCACTGGAACAACAGACACACAAGATCCCTTTGTAACCATCATTGGATGTTCTTTCAGCCAGAAATGTATTGAAGCTGCCCACCAAAATTAAGGATTGAAAATTCTCAAGCAACATGAAATTAACTGGGAAGCGCATATATATGATACTTACAGTCTAGTGAACTCATATTCGTAAGGACCATTCTGAAAAGAAAACATCAGAGGCATGTCAAAATGCAGTTTCAAGTTACAAGATGAGATGTAAGTGGTGAGAAAACTTCGATCACCTTAGAGATGACATCATTGGGGACTCCGAGATGTGTGTGGCACTTTTTGCATGTGTAGACAGGTCCCTCGAGTTCTATCGCGAACACTCTTCCCATCTTCCACACCAACCTGGTGATGACTTGGCCCACAAGATAGTGATGTGAGTCTAGAGAAGGTCAAAGCGATGTAACTGAAACAGGAGAAGAAAACTAGACAAAGAACAATTATCAAGAAAATCGAAAACTGTACCAAGAATCAGTTACGTGATTCCCAAGAAAAGGGATAAAAGCTACGAATGTTGAAGGCAATGATATTCTACGATGCAAAGAAAAACCCTAGACGACGAGAAAAATGTTCGTGGAAGAAGAATCCATGGATTCTCAGTGACTATGCGTTTCTTTTCAACGAGTTTAATTAACAGAGGGAAGTTGTTGAATGTTGCAACGATTAAACGCAAAAGAAGTGAGAGATTACGTGAGAGACGGAGAGAGAGAACTCACGGTTGCGGGAGATGGTGACGCAGCGGCAGTGACACGGAGGGAGATGAGAGAAGTCAAGTCAGAGAGAGGGAAGGAGAGACTTTATATTACGGTTTTTTTTAAACAAAAAAAAAAAAAGGGAACAATAATTTGGTTTATGAGATCAATTGGATCCACATTGAGGGGTTGTTATTTAAGTTTATAAAGTATTAAGGGATTTTCGAGAGATGATAAAGAGTAGATAAGTAAGTCAAGGTTTCGGTCTTTGGTGGGCTTTGGACTAGTTTATGTAATATCCATCCAACGTATAAAAGATGAAGTACACAAATCCCTTATATATTAATTCTGAAGCATTCCTAAATGCACAACCTTGAAGAGCATGCTTACGTGTCAAGCTCACAGAGCTTCTCAGCCTTAATTTTTTAATATACCAACTTTGCTAGGAATGAAATAATGTAACATTTAATTTCTTGCATTTAGAACTATAATATATAAACATTTTTTAAGGGACCAATTCTACTAGATATAAAGCAATATATTTTCTTTCCGTAAATAAAAGCTACGGAATTACCTAATATGATTAACATATATATGTAATTAATGATTATGAATAATACATATTTTTGTATCTTTTCTTCTTTTAGTTTAATTTTAAATTATTAAAATAAATTAAACAATCACATTAATTATATAATAAAATAATTAATTTTTTTCTTATAGGTTATATTTTTAATTTTTTAAAACGATCATAAATAACTAAAAATAGTAAAATTCCACATTGAAAATTTTATGATCAATGGTTTCGCTTTTTTTTTTCAAACAAGGTAAAAATTATCATAAATTCGTACGAATATGAAGTATCATTAGTAGATATTCATATTATAAATATGTTAATTTAAAAATTTCAGTGAAAATGTTTGAGATTAGTAGATACAAATTATAGCATTCAAAAGATTTTTGTAGTTTGTTTTATTTGCTTTTTTTTAAATATCTTTTAGTTTGTTTAGATAATTTAACTAATTTTAAATTAGATTTATTAATAGTTTAAATATTTTGAATTTTTTGTCAACTTTTAATGTTTAAAAAATATTTTTTGGGATGATTTCATATATTGGTTACAATCCAATCTAATCTGAATTGAGAAGACCAAATCGAATCCAATCCGATAATTAGTAAAATTCAAATAAGATTTATGAAAATAATACCAAAATTTGAAAATACGTCTCAATCAAACCAAAACCGACGAAGTCTCAAACGTCTAGACCTGTGATGATTTAAGATACCAACATTTGTATTCATCATTTTATAATCGATAAATACTGTAGTATTACAAAATATTAAAAACCATTTAATGAATAAGTATTGGTATAAAAATTTCACCCCGCGCATGCGCGCGGGCTATCATCTAGTTCACCATTATAGCTAGTTTTTTTTTTATTATAATCAACTTGTAGTTAGATAGAAACCACATATCAACCATTTTCGAGATAAGACATAACGTCTAATAGCGATTTTTAGGGTAAATTCACCACTTTTTATAGAAGATGAATGTTAAGAGGCTCTGATTGTGTTATTAGGTGGATTTTTATGAATGATGTAATCAAGAGATGTGAATATGCTTTTTGTGGCGTTTACCGTTGGTGTTCATCAATGCGTATAATTTGGAGATTGCCGTCTTTGAGCTCGTTATGAATTTGAAGATTTAATGTTATTTTCGCGCTATATAGTAAATTGGTACACATGCATTAAGTAGCACAAACCACCATTGAGGTGTAACCTATGGTGTAAAATATAAAACTTAGAAGTAGCTAGAACCAGCTAAAGAAAAGTTTATTCAAATTACAAAAACAAGATAAACATGTAAACTATGCAAATGGAGTCATAAATTTCAAATGTCACTAAAACCCCAAAAGGAATATGTGATTTATTTTTGAGACTGTTCACACACTATACAAAGTAATATGAAATTCTAAATCATAAACTTCTACTTCAAATTGTCTTTTTGTTGAACATATACCAACTCCTAAACCTCATCATCGCTTCCTTCTGGTCCATGAAGTCTCTTCCTACACTTTGTTGTTGTATTGATGAAACCATTTCTCTATATAGAGGATTTAACAAGGAAAGAATATCACACTACCTCAAAACCCAGTAAGTAGTTGGACCCCCCTCATCAACTTGGCTTATCTGTGAGAAAGAAACCACATGAACACATACAAGGTTAAAGAATAGAGTTTATTTTGGTGGAATACTGGAATCTGAGTCGTGGGGGTCTTTTCTTACGTTATAAATATATTCTGCAAAGCAGAGTAGAGCGTGCTTTCAGCCAGAAATGTATTGAAGCTGCCACCAAAATTAAGGATATATACTGGTTAAAAAATTCTCAATCAACATGAAACAACTGGGAAGCATATATATATATACTTACAGTCTACTGAAGTCATATATGATGTCATTGTCATTGATATCAAAAACTTCCTGAGTAAAAAAACATCAGCATGCCAAATGAAATTGCAATGTCAAGTTGATGATGAATGTAAGTTGAAAAAACCTCAATCTCCTTAGAGATGATATCACTGGGAACTCCGAGATGTGTGTGGCACTCTATGCATGTGTAGACGAGTGCCTCGAGTTCTATCACGAACACTCTTCCCATTTCCCACCAACCTGGTGATGACTAGTCACACAAGATCATGGATTGAGTCTTGAGAAGGTTACAACGATGTAACTGAAACAGGAGAAGAAAACTAAAAAAAAGGAACAATTATCAAGAAAATCGAAAACTGTAACCAAGAATCAGTTACGTGACTCCCAAGAAAAAGATAAAATCTACCAATGTTGAAGGCGATGATTCTACGATGCAAATAAAAACCCTAGACAGATGAAAAATGCTTCATATTGCAACGATTAAACGCAGAAGGAGTGAGAGATTACGTGAGAGATAGGGAGAGAACTCACGGTTGCGGGAGATGGTGACGCAGCGACGGTGCACGGTTGCGGGAGCTGAGAAGTCAGAGAGAGTCTTGAAACCTTTTGCTTTTGAGTCGAGAGAGAGGGAGGGAAAGGGTTTTATATTACTACGTTTTAAACAAATCATGAATTCGGTTTATTCCGGAAATAAATGCCTTGAGAGAAATTGGATCCACATTGAGAGGGTCTTCTGACAATTTAATAAAATATTAAGGAGTTTCCGAAAAATGAGAACAGAGTAGTGAAGACGAGTCAACGTTTCGGCATTTAGGTAGGCCTTTGGACTAGTTCATGTAAACTGGGCTGTACAACTGAATTCTATATCACTCATCTTTCAAAGTGATTGCAAAAACCAATTAGTCAATTACTATTTATAAATGGTTTAATTTTATTGTACTTTGAACTTCTATTCTTGAATTTTTAGTTAAAGATGAAGAAGATAAATTCACCATTAGATGAAAAATAGATATAGCTATTTTTTTTTATCATCATCAACTTGTATTTAGGTAGAAAATTCAACCCTTTTCGAGATAAGACATAGATTTAAATAGTTATTTTTTTGGGTGGGGGGGGGGGGGTTATTTCATCAGTTCTTTTTAAAATATGGATGTTCAGAGGTTCTGATTGTGTTCTTGGGTGGATTTTTATGTATAATGCATTTATCAAGATACGTAGTTTGGGGTGCCCTGGAGCAATCAATCATTTATGGGTGTTGGCCATTGGTGTGTATTTGGATAAGGGTTTCCCTGGAGCAACCAATCATTTGTGGTGTTGGCCTTTGGTGTGTATTTGGATAAGGGTTTAGGACTTGGGAGTGTTGTTTATATTGCAGTCTTTGAGCTCGTCTTATGAATTGGAAGACTCAATATTATTTGTATGTGACCCACAAATTAAGTAGCACAAAACCTCCATTGATGTGTACCCTATAGGCTATTTATGGGACATACTATAGAACACATAAGTGGACCTGCAAAAAATAAAACTGATGATATTATTCAAATTTATAAAACAAAACATAAAGAAAATGTAATCTATAGCAAGTGGAGTCTTGGATTTGTTAGTTGAGGATAATGATTGCTTTATGCATAAATGGCTTAGACTATTGAACTGATGTTTGTCTTTTACAAAATTGGTCAAAACTGGATGCGCACCATAGCAAAAGCATACAAATATAAAGCAAAAGAAGAAAGAAAACATACTAGCCATGGAGAAGAATCACGGCAGGAGCAAACAAAGACGTTTATGAGAAGGAGCATCGGAGCCACTCATCTTCTTCCTCCGACTCGATTTGATTTGACAAGTCACAATAATGAATGTAAACGATGATTAAACTTTAGCCATTGTGTGGATCTACTCTAAATTTCACTAAAACTCTCTTTTCTGGTTCCTGTCCTATTGTATATAGCGACATCAATTATAATCACGTTTGTATAAGTGGATGTTAATATCCACACAAAGTATAAAGTATGTCACTAATATGTGCCGATGTAGAAATATTAGTGAAACAACATGCATTATAAAGTAACTTTAGAGCAAATGATAATAGAAATATAAACATCTGAATTGATTTAACATCTTTATGTGTTACAAACACTACCCTCATAATATCAGTCAAACTTTTTCAATCACTAACAACCAACTCTCGAATGCAATGTAAGGGCAACATTATATAGTGGCACAATTACATACACTTATAACCCCAAGTGTAGAAACCCCCAATAATGTTGCTCTAAGTACCTAAGCTCCAAGGACCATGACTCATCGCCACTATTGGGTCCAAAATCGGGCCTATTGATTTCTGTAATGCGAGATTCATTAAATGCTAAAGATAGATGCCGAGCAAGTGAGCCCGCAAAGAGCTCATAGAGTAAGACGAGAACGAATGCTAGATCTGATGGCCGCAATAGGGTCCAAGCCCATGTTTTATCATCGCTTCGGGGTCAACGAGCATGATGAGATCGAAGTGAGATCCCGAAGATCACGGAAGAAGTTATAAGAAAAGAGAGCTATAAAAGGGGAGATAGAACGGAGCACAAGGGTACACAGAAAAACCCTAGAGCAAATTACTATTCACATCGACCTCACATCACAGACTTCTAGTTCGCATATAGTTTCCATCTTTCATTATTTTTCTCGATCTTGTTTACCACTTTGTACCAAACTTTATATTCAATAAAGTCTATTTTTGTCAATCAAATTCTGATTGTATCGTTGTGTTTTAAGAGCATCGTTTCCACATCATTTGTCTTCTCCGGACTAAATTCTTGATTACTACAAAATACTTAGTGTGGATTTTAGGATCTACAACCACCATACTAAACAACATTAGTCTCAAACCCAAACGTTTTGAAACTTCCAGAGATCTTCAAGTAAAATAAACAAGGGAGAAAAATAGAGATCGTTACAGTAATGACATTAATTAATATATAAATATATTACTCAAGTAGAATAAACTGGTTGATAAATATATAATATATTATTACTTAATATTAAAAGACATTTTCAAAATAATACATGACAGATAAATTGTTAAATAAAATTAATTAAAAACAAAATAAGTCTAGATATTAGTGATTTTTTCACATAAAGAAAATCAAGTTATATTCATAAATACAGGTGGACACGGCTCGAATATGTAGGTAATTGGAGGTATTCGTGTTACAATTCGTTTCGTCCAAATAATCAATCATCCGACTCGATTCGATCTGTAGCCACCCGGATATTTGGTGTCTTGGATAGGAAAAATTTAGAATTCTAACTTATATCTGAGTTGATCCGTATATAAATAATTTTTTTAATAAATAAAAAGTAAAAATATAAGTAATAGTATTTTATTACAAATAAAAAATATTTAAATTTTCAAATTCTAATACCTAATATGATAAATTTAATACATAGAATATTGTAAAAATTATATAAACTATAATATATATAACTTACATATATAAGTCTTTAAATATATGTGTATATGTATATGCATATAAAGTTCGAATCAGATATCCGTTTTTAAAAATATTAGTATTTTTTTTCTTTGTTTTACGGAAATTATATTTCAGTATTTGATCTTTGTTTCGTAAAGTTACAGATGTCCTATTTTTTCGGCTTGAATTAAAACATATAAGAAACCCAATCAAATTTACAAATATTTTATCCAGTCCTATCCAAGAACAACAAGAACAATATATATACAATTGGGCTTGATACATTTTATTTTTTGGTGTATTGTGTTGTATTTTGGCCGGATCAGTTTAAATATTTATGTCAACAAATATTTTACAGTTGGACCTGCTAAAAAACCTAAGATTTTAAAACGTTTACACACAAAAATACAAAACAAACAAAACTTCTCATCAACAACCAACGATTGAAAGGGGTTTACGGTTTCGTTCGCAAAATTCGATCTCTTCACTCGATCTTTTCAAATTCATCACCGGAAGTTTTTTTTATTTCTCTTTATTACTTCAACTCATTCCTTTGCGAAATTATATGTGAATTTAGTATTGATAAAAAACACTGAAGTATATTGTATCAGCGAGTTTGAAAAGAATATGAAAGGTTTTTGAAAGAGAAGACATGTCAATTAGTTTCTTGTAAATTGTCTTTCTATGTGGAATTTTGCATATGAGTTTTATATTGAAAAAGGAAATGTAAAGTATATAGTGTAAACACATTTATGTAGAGTTTGGCTGAAAAACTCTCTACACATGATACATCAATGTATTCATTCTCAAATCGTTGTAAAATTGTCACGTGTCCATTATATGTGAATTCATTTATTAAAATGTTTCTCCTTTGATATATAAGAGACTGGTTTAACATCTTTATTTGTTACAAACACTACCACATAATATCAATCAAACATTTTCAAACACTAACAACTAACTCTCGAATTGCAATGTAAGTACCTAAAACTCCAATAGGAACACTCATCGCCACCATACCAAACAAAATTATAGTCTCAAACCCAAACTTCTTAAAACTTCCAGAGATCTTCAAGTAACATAAGCAAGGGAGAAGAATAGAGACCGTCACGCTCAGTAATGCTCCAACCAGTGACATCATATAACCGAAGAACGGAAGTGTCTCAGCGATGACCACACTGCTAGCTATACATAACGTACTTATCAAGAGATGTAAGTATGTTTTCTTGGCGTAACGCGCTGGAAACCAATTTTTGATGATGTTCACGGTTGGTGTGATCATCAATGCGTATTTGGCTATGGGGTTTACGAGTGTTGTGTATATCGCCACCTTTGCGCTCGTCTTATGAGTCGGAAGATTCAATGTTATTTGCGATAGAGTGTTTGATCCATACATTAAGTAGCCCAAAACCGCCATAGATGTGTAACCTATGGTGCATAATATAAAACTTATAAGTAGAACCTGCCAAAAAAGAGGTAAAACTAACATTATTTTAGTTTTAAGTTTTCATATATACAAAAAAAAATATAAAAGAACATTATATAAATTCATGCATTCGTGAGTTTGTTGGTTAATGATAGTGATTGATTTCTATCTATTCACCTAGTTCGACTTCAATACACATGATTTTCTTTAACCCACAATCAAATTTGCAATCTATAAATATACCGAATTCAAAATTAACAATAATATATATGTTTGTAAATGACTACTTACATTGTTGAACTGATGTTTTCTTTTCATTGAAGAGTACAAAGTAGGCAACACCGGATGTGCACCATAGCAAAAAGCATACAAACTCATAGCCGTAGGGATACCACTCCAGTTAATCAGCTTTCCACTTTGACGAAACCCGATTCCATCAACAGCTCCAACCCAAGAAATTGATCCAAGAGTCACCACCGTAGCTAAAACACCACTCATGGAAACATAAGACAAAACACTTAGATTATCCCACCAAAGAGTTGGCATGATGACAAGAGCCACTGAGGCCATGAAAGACTGTTTCCCGTTCAATCTCAAACCGATCATTTTGATGTTAAACCTTGGGAAAAGATTGTGAAGGTTGTCTCCTTCCACGATCAAGAAACCTGTAGTGACTAGGTAGAGTTCTAGGTGCATGAAGACTGACACAACGATTCTTCCCGGTCTACCAAACGCACGNTTGGCATGATGACAAGAGCCACTGAGGCCATGAAAGACTGTTTCCCGTTCAATCTCAAACCGATCATTTTGATGTTAAACCTTGGGAAAAGATTGTGAAGGTTGTCTCCTTCCACGATCAAGAAACCTGTAGTGACTAGGTAGAGTTCTAGGTGCATGAAGACTGACACAACGATTCTTCCCGGTCTACCAAACGCACGCTCTCCAATGTCCGGGTACGTTTTGATGGTGCGATCCGCGTTCATGCATTTTGTTATGAGTAAAGATGTGTAGAAGGCGGTTGCGGCTAGGAGTAAGAGAAGTGATAAACTCAACCATCCTCCACGAGCTAGTGAATATGGTACTGATAATATTCCAATGCCTAATACAATTCACATTATCGCCATTAGCATTCAAATTGTTATATAAAAACAAGTAAATAAATATATAAATACATCGAACTAAAAAGAGTTAACCTGAAAAAGCATTAAGCGCGTTGAAACAAGTCTTAAAGAGAGATGAAGATCCTCCATCGTCAAGTTGTTTTTCGTGGTTATCTTCTTCCATTGCTGATAATTTCACATAAAAAAAGTAGAGAACGTAATTTTATTTTTGCAAACTTATGGAAAAGTACTGATGATGCAGTCTATATGTGAACTTTAACTTGTAACAGTTTGAACTTCTGTATGAGAACGTATCATATTAGAAATAATGATATATCGTTTTGTAAAATGTTATAGAAGGTTACAGGTTGAGTTCATCTAGAGCGGAAGCAAGAGAAACGTGATTACTTTTTGTGATTAATTAGAAGTTACGTGTGGTTTGGGGGTTATGCATATATATGAATAAATAAATAATTATAATCTCAACATTTCAAGGCCTGTTGACACACAAAAACGAAGTTTAAGAGATCACATAAACGATTCAGAAACCCTGTTTTTTTTTTTATAAGAAAGCCTAAAATTTACCTGGAAAATAAATGGGAAGAGTTTCTGTTACTTAATCTCCAGAGTGAATAGTCGAACGTGAAGAATGGCACAAGAACAGGTAGTCCTATTTAAGTTTGGATATCACGAAAAAGGATGAGTGGAGTCTCACGCATATGGAAAGTGAAGACAAAACTTTTTGGGTGATTAGGATTTAAAGTCCTACACGATAGGGATTCAATGCCAACTAACTAACTAGATTTTAGCTTCGTCTTTTCTCAAATCTATAAGAAACATTCAAAATTATTGACGTTTTTGAACCTCTAACCTTTTAACCTAAAATACATACAATCATTAACTGCAATCATACAAAAACTGTGGAATCTACATTTTAAAATATTAGAAATGGTGGTCATTTTCAGCTATGCTATATAAAATTAATAATTTACTATCTCTATTATTAAAAGAGAAGTACCCACTAAAAAATACCCCTAAGTTTTCCAACTTATTTACACTCATATGTCACTGAGAATCTAATTAAACTTCCTATTTAAATGCTTGTCTTTTTCAGTTATATTAATTAAACATCTTATTTAAATGCTTGTCTTTTTCAGTTATATTAATGAATTATTTAATCAACCAAAAAATACCTGCATCACTAACATGTCTTTTTCACGTATATTAATGATAACTCATTTACTGCATCACTAACATCACTGATATATTACATGCATCTAAAATGTGTATTAATAAAACGTGCATCACTAATATAATATAGAGAAATATAATATTAACTAACACACAATATAACATGTGCATGTATTAACTATATTGGTTTATATAATGTATTCTACGGTATAATAACGTCACTGTTAAAAAGTAATATAGAGATAACTCTAATTTCAATATCAAATCGGATTACCAATCATATACACATATTCAAACAG